GTAACAGAGCTTAAATTTAAAATTTCTGCAAATTTTTAAACACAAATACGTTATCGTAAGACGTACTATTTTATTATTATTTGTTTTTTGTAAATCCTTAAATGACTAAGTTAAATTAAATTCTTTTATAATTTATCTTTTTTCAGTTCAAATTAAATAGAATTAATAAACGGAGTTTTAATCCCGACTTTACGCTTATCAATATATATTACAATCAGAAATTAAAGTTGATTATTCGGACTTACATTAAATTTCCAATTAAAGAATTTCATTAAAAACTCGACTTTCCTATATTAATAAGCGCAGTACGTGATATGTAAGTAATACCAATTTATTTCGTACGTCCATTATAGCTTTGTTTATATTAATATTTGTTTTCTTATTGGGACGGCGAATATGTTGATTACGTATCATTTATTTAGTTAGTTAGTTAGAATAACGTTTCAATTATTTACAGTATTATTTATTAGTTTCGTCCTTTGTAGTAAATTTTTAACCTTTGTAATTTCCCTTTGTTTTTTAAGTTGTACAATATAAATAAATTCTAAGCTTATCAAAAAAAAAACAAGTTTATTTTTTTTGCAAACACTAAAAAACAACATAAATATATATGCTATATCATATTATATATATTTTATTTAAATGTTATATATATCTATATGAAACATTTTTAATTCATTGTATGTTGTGAAAAAAACTATATTTATTATAGCATCTTTGTTTTTCTTAATCCCGAGAAAAGAAATATCGCGTGAATGGTTTAAAACTTTTTTGGAAGAAATGAACATTTACCATGAATTGACTAAAAAAAGATCGGTAAACCTTGTTATAAATAAAACAGGGGTCAAAAGGTCTTTTTTTTTTAATTCTATAGGTATTAACTTGGAAAAATCCGGCAAATTTCGGAAAATAAAAAATTCCGGTGAAAACTCTGGGTAAAAATCGAAAAAAAAACCCCTCATATTCTCATTCTTTTGGGTCTTTGTAATATGGTGACAAAAAAAAAAAAAAAGTTTTTCTTTGTTTAGATTAGATTTGAGAATATTCGGAAAAATATCAAATAAATTATGATTTGTATCCAAATAAAGATTATTATCTGGTAACACGGGATTTTTTATTTATTTATTTATTTATTTTTATTCTTCCTTTGCGTAATCTCATTAAAAGTGCTTCTATAAAAAATTTCGTCCGAATAAACTGATAAAGATCTTTTTTTTCAAATTTGTTTAAAAAAGACTTTTTACTTTAACATTTATTATCAGGGAATTGACCAAGATTATCAATTTTTCATAAAATACTCGAATTTTCACTTGAATATATATTCGAAATACAAAGCTGACCTTTAAAGCTGGCATATCGCACAGCCAATAGAATTGCAATGTTACTTATCATGTGATTATTCAGTCATATTATTTTTGAGTTTTGATTTCCTTCACTATTTTTTATGTTTAAAAATGCTATTAAGGTCTAAATGTTTGAAAAAAAAAAATGTTTTGGGGTATTAGTGGTGATTTATGTTATATAATTTATAATAAAAAGCACTTGCTATGACAGCTGCGTTACCTGCGTATCAGCGTATGTCATCTGACATTTAGAGCATTTCGTGACAATCATTTAATGATTTATAGTTAATTCTACCAACATTAAATATTTCAAATTCCGCAATAATTTCAGCCAAGATTAATGATAGTCTCTGGACATATTTATCATATGATGCACTGCTAAGTATGCAACCTGCTGAATAATTAAAAATGATGAGATTCGTGTTATAAAGATCAAATTTTATTATTGGTGTCTTTAAAGCATAAAATTATTGGTTCTACCGTTCAAGCGTTTCGGCAAAATATGTATAAAAATCTCAAACATTTTCCGAACAAACCAATCATGTTTATTTATTTTATTATAAAAGCATACAGTAACTTTGAAAAAAATTTTTAGTGTTATTCCACAAATAGTACATTATAAATCATCTATTATCTATAATTAATATATCCGAATTTTTATTAAATCATCCATGAGAGGCCAAAACTTTTATTTAATCCTGTAATTCCGGCAAAAAAAAAAATTGTAATTTCACGTTTGTAACATGATTAACCCTTGTAAATCACATAATCTACCCATGTCCACGTTAAACAAAATCTATCCGAGGTCATACTATACCAATAGGTCTACGACTTTCAAAATCGACCCTTAATTAGTCCGATGTACTGTATATAAAAGGTTTATAATTTATAATTTTTTTTTGTTTTTAAATCAAGGGTTGGTTATTTGTCTGCAAATCCCTGTTGCAAATCCCTGTTGTAAATCCCATGTATTTAAATATGGAGTCGTAGCCCATTTAACGCGTTCTCTTTGTTTAAATTAAAAAAACTAAATTAAATAATTTTAGTAATCTTCATTATTGCGTATTTCACTGAGTCAAACCTCTGTTAAATTTAGTGATTATTTAATTAGTTTATATAACACAATAATATCATAATATCACATAGACACATATTAACTAACTCCTAAAAGAAAATTAAACACAATTATTAGAAAAACTTTCAGGAACAAAGCTTTAGTGTATTGTCTTTAATTTTTTTTTTTTCTCATTCATAAATATTAACGAAAATAGTCAAGAGTACAACATTATCTAACCTTTTTTTTTCCTACTTTTATCCGATTATCCGATTTCGCGTTCTATTAAAAAATATTATTCATCTTGTAATTATTAAATAAGTTCTTTTTTTTTTATATTGCGTGGGAAATGGGGGGAAATTCTTAAAAAGATAATCATAAAATCGGAATTTTCGGAACTAAATAAAAAAGAAACCTTTTTCCGATCCGTTTTCGCGTTACTAAAATTGAATTAACCTTATTTAATTTTATCATTAATAATCATTAAAAATTAATAACGATCTAAAACTTCTCATTGATATCTCAATTTTATTTATATTTAATAGATTCGGGATCCTTTTTTTTTTTTTTTTANTATACGGTACAGTTCAATCTTTAATAAAAGATTACATAAAGCATTATTAAATAATAAATAAAAACATTATTAATGTTATTAATGTACTTTTATTAATAAAAAAAACATTTCACTTGCATATTGTAACTTGCATATTTGTATTTTTTGTAACGCGATAATAAATCTTTCGCTTTTTAGAATAAAATAATGAAAAAAATAACTTTTTGGATCTAAATTAATAAATTGAAATAGATTATTGTGCATTTCGTGAATTTACTCATTGATTTATTCCCGAAATATACATATCAATGCTTTTATTTAAAGAAAAAATAAATGAATCCTTTCCTATTATCGTTATATAAATATTATTATTATTATTATTATTATTATTATTATTAACGATGACTTGTTCTTCATTATAGGAAAACAAGAGAAAAAAAAAAAAAGAAATCTTAATTTATTTTTAACTTTTACTTGCATAATTAAATCATTCCGTTCATTCCCCCGTTCGTTTATTTTATATTAGATTAGATAGACTAAATTAGTTGTCGATACCTAAATAATGACAGCTTTTTTAAATAATTTACAACAATGGTCAAATTTAAGTTTAATAAGATTTTCCTTTCAAATCCATATTAAACCGTAGCTTTCATGGCTCAATTCGGTATCATTACGTTTTTGTGACACATCGTCCCATTGTTAAAATCACGTGAATATTTGTGAATAATCCCCAGCATTACCATCAACTCCCCCGTAAAAAAGTTTCTCTCAAATATATTGATGTGAGAATTGAAAAATTATTATATGAAGTTATTTTTGCAAATTATGAGAATTTCTTGGGGTCGTTAAAAAGTACTAATTTTTATAATTTAATTTATAATTCATTATTACGGTCGGTTTCATTTAAAAAATTTTCTCTCTGTTTTTTTTTCTTCATCTCTCTAAATTATGATCTAATAAAAAAATTTTAGTTATATTAAATTTTTTAGTGATAACCCTGGTATATATATGTAAGTATTTCTTTTAAAGTTCACCTGTGGTGAATGTCACCGGATACCAGTCTTTAAGTTGTGATGGAATTATTTAAATTAATGGGAATAACAATAGAATGTTACGTGGTGCATCATACAGTAGCAATATGTATCTGATAGAGTACAATTTACAAATTTATATTATTCATTAATTTATTTAAAGAGTAAGATAACCAAAAGTACACTAGGCCCATAATTCCCTTATACATCTCAAGTCTCAACTTAATCAATTTCACTTAAAATAGTATCTATCAAGTCGAGTAAAACCATTTATTTTCATTAGTATTTGATATGTATGATGATTATATCATATCATCTATGCAAATACAGACCTAAACATGGTTTATAACTTTATATGTATATATATATTGGAGAAATTCGAAAAAAATAAAAAAGAAAATAAGGGAATCGATGGTTAACGATCGCGTATTAAATGAATTTCCTTTCAATCGTATTTTCGTCGTTTTTTTGAAGGTCTACTCCCTAATTTATGAGAAGGTCGTTAAAAGTTAACTCTAGGAAGTAACAAGATCATGACTAAGATCATGTCACCACGAATTTGACCACCATTAAACTCTTTAAATTTAACATTAAACAATAGCTTTTAAACCGAACGCATATTTCATGTCATCATGTAGATCTTGATAATATAACCAAAATTTTTAGTATAAAACGTGACGCGACTGACGCGTATAAGATGCTCGCTCCTGTTGAAACTCTATTAATTATCTAAACTTCATTATTTCGTAATCGAAAATTAAACATTAGTGAGTAAGTGGACAAACCACACCTTTTAAATGCTTTGCTTTATTGTTTCAAGGTATAGTTTTTAAAAGATTCTTATTACAATAATATATTTTCAGTTAAGAAAAAGTACTCTATATTTATAAAAAAAAAAAATTTTTTTTTTTTAAAAAATACAGATAAACAATTACAAATACATTCAAAGAACTTTTAAATATTTTGATTGATTATATGAAAATCAATTACTAAATTACGAGAACTTAACAGAATAAGAATTATTGGTAATTTTTCGGACCAAGATGAAATATGACATTTTTGCCTTTCTGTTTCTTTTGCTTCTTCTTTTTGTTTCCATCTTTTGTACTTTCACTGTATGAAGAATCATCCTCACTATCATTTTCATTCTTGTTATTATCAGATGCAGATGATCCTCCTTGTCCCCATGCATTGCTTTCTGATCCGTTCTTTTTGATTCTTTGTTGTGAAAAAGAAGAGTTTGAATTTATAGGTAATTCAGGAAACTCAACATTTTCAGCTTTAGTAGGTCTACCTCTGACAAAAGCGGTTGTATATGATGAAGTATTTGAAGAATTATTTACACTAGATGAAGGAGATTCCCTACGTGGAGAGGATTGGACGAATTTTGGAGAAGAGTTTTTCCAAAGATCATTATTAGAAGTACTAGCTGAAGTTGCAAGTGAAGGATAAGCAGAATTATTTTTTTTGGATTCACGGGCAGCAATAGCAGCAATTTTATCCCAAACTTGAGGTCCACTACTTGATTTTGTACCACCAGATCGAGTAGTTGAAGATTTAATTACTAATACACGAGGTGATGGTTTAGGTGTCGTAATATTTGGTTTAGAATTACTTTGTGTAGAATTTACTGGTTCTAAAGCAGGAAAATCGGTAGTAGTACGCTGTAACCAGTAATTTTCAAATTAATATTATTGTTATAAGAATTATATAAAATCGAAAATTATATAATTCACAAATGATTACCTTAGCTTTATGATCATTCCATGCTCTTAATAATTCTTGTTTCTTCTTCTCGTCTTCCAATACTTCTACCATACCATTTACGACTTTACCGACATCCTCCTTTCTGTTAAACAGCTCCAATAATGATTCAACGTATGAATGTGCGCTAAGAAATGAGGAGTCACTGTATAATTCAGTTATCGAATTAAATTCATCCATTTTGGCGGAATCGTTGGATAAAAGTCCGAAAACACGTTGGTGCAAAACTAATTTACGAGAACTGAAATTTCATTGAATGGTTAGAAACTTGTATACAATAAATGAAGTGGAAAAGAAAAAGGAAATATATATATATATATATTATGTATATACTTTGAATTTGAATTTTCAAAACTAGACAAGGCTTTTTCTCTGTAGTTTAAGGCACTAGTGCTATTGCTACTATTTGACGTAGAAGTTGAATGGCTCGTAGATGGTAAAGGAGGAAAGGCATAATTATTTCTTTTTTTTGTAGACTCAAACATTGGTGGTTGTTGTAAAGAATAAGGTGGAGTTGGGGAAGTTTCACTTCGACTACTACTTGCAACCGTTTGTGTAGGTCTATCAGCAGTGGGTTTAGGCTTATTAGCAGTGGGTTTAGGCTTATCAGCAGGTTTATGTTTATCAACTGGTTTAGGTTTATCAACAGGCTTAGAATTTTGCTTTACTCTTTCACTGTAATTTTTAATGGTACCTGAATTATTACTCATGCTAACCCCCATTGCATCACTTAGTGTAGGAAAATCTTCTTCCCGTATGCGAGGTGGTGTGTAAGCATTACGTAATTGCACCTCACTTTCTGGTGATTCATTCGCTGATCCGATCACTTCATCAGGAGACAAAGCACCGAAACCTGGAGGTGGTCTTGTTGTTGTTCTAGCATTAACAGTCGTACCGTTGACAGCAGAGGGAGTGGAATCTAGATTAAGATTTTGAGTTTGACGTGAAATTTCTTCAACTACAGTTTGTACAACCTCATCGCCATCTGCCCGCCTCTCCGACTACACAAAATTATTTAAATTTTAGATCTTAGATAAAAAGCATCAATGACTCATTTAGAATGTTTCATTGATTCAACTCAAAAAAAAAAAAATGATAAGTACGGTTTGTCTATAATTCCTACCTGTCTCTCACGACTTCTTCGCCGTCGTGGATGTGTATCTGCGTAACTATTGGTATAAAGAATCCCAATCCTCCTTGCTTCATGTTTAGCTCTTTGTCCGCTTAAATTAGTTCCGTGAACTTCGACCTATATTAAAAAAGTCATAATATTATTAGAAATATTATTAAAATATTTTTTTTTTAAAAAAAAAAAAAAAAACTTACTTCATGAGCCTTTAAATCAATTTCTGTTTCAAATACAATAAATTTTTTCTCTAAACACTCTTTATCTTGACAAAGATAGTGTTCCGAATTGAAATGACCTTCCTAAAAAAAAAAAAAAGATAGAAACTATAAATTATATGTAAAATAAATCAAGATTTAAGATATTAATTAAACAAATAATACATACTAATGAATTATAGTCGCGATAATAACCATGTCTTATACCAGCTCTCATGCAAATAAAGCATTCTTCATGCTTATCACGGCAATGTTCATAGAGTTCATCATCTCCATAAAAGCGTCTTTTACAAAATTCACATTCAGGATGCCCTCTGAACCCCGAATCATCGTCACCTTCACGAAAGTGTTTATCAAGATCTTTATTATTGAAAAGAGAATGTTCATGTGAAAAGATCTTTTTATGTCGAATGCAGATATCACTAAAATTTATAGTATTTCAAAAATGTTTATGTTAATAATTAAAATTAAAACTATACAATTTATAACTTTATTATAATATAAATTAACATACCATAACATTAAATGATGATAATCTTTAATATGTCGCTTTAATTCCGGCCATCCCTCACAAGACACGTCACAGTTCGAATATGGACAATTATATTTCAATAGTAACTTTATATCATCAAGCATTTCTTGATCCTCACAATAAGCATTCAAATCCTCGTCAAAGTATGGAATATCAGATTCCTTAAAATCTTGGAATTCTTTATCATGTTTACGAGTAAAGATAACTTTATCTTGTTCAGTCTAAATATATCATTAAAATTAATTCACATTATGTTGAAAATTGACGTTAAATAAATAATCAATCTTTATCATTACCTTACAATAAGCGCAATTCTTATTTTCATATAATGCTCTTATCCTCAATGAACACAAGTGACAAAATTTATGGTTACATTCCGAAACAGCATAGTATATAACGGGGTTTGCGCAGATAAAACAAACGGATTCATTTGAGGGAACTGGAGAAAGAGAATCATTTTCGTTCAAATTAATATTTCCGTTCAAATTAGAATCCTCGTCCGAATGAGAATTTTCATTTAAATTGGAATTTTCGTTCGAATTAGAGAAAGTACGTCTAGTAGCTGCAGAGCTTCTTGAATTTTGACTAGAGCTTGAATTATATTCTCGATGGTTCGACGAATGTCTTACAAAATGATGATAAGGACGACCTCGACCTCGTCCTCGACCTCGTCCTCGTCCTCGTCCTCCTCGTGGTCTATGATCATTATAGTGGCGCTGTTCTCTGTTAGATCGTTCAGGACGTTCAGGGCCAGTACCTGAGACGGTTTGTATATCAGTCGAGTTTGATGTGGTAGACATTGAAATTATGAAATTAAAATTAATGGAAATTTTTATTGTGATAAAAAAATCGATCCGGATAAAAACAATAAATTTATTAAATTTGACATATGTAGATGAATGTAGATGATTACCAATAAATCACATGCGGGATACACTCGGAGATTTTCTTGGAAACAATGATTTCTAATGAAGTTGTAACAATAAAGAACATTTCAGAAGAAACTGATAATACAGAATGTTGGATATTCGGCTATGGTTCTCTAATTTGGAAGCCACCACCTATATATGAGGAAAAGTTAGTGTTATATTTTGTTTTATTCTTGTGAGATCACTGTATACTAAAGAATTATTCACTCAGAATACCAGGTTTTATTAAAGGATATGTTCGAAGGTTTTGGCAGGTATATACTATCGCTTTTTAATTAAATTTGTTTTGGTGGCTTTATTTTATTTATTTCTTATTCTTTGTACGATTGATTATCTTTCTTTAGCGAAGTACAGACCATCGAGGAACTGTAGAAAACCCCGGTCGAGTTGTGACTTTAATCCCAATTGAGGAATGGAAATTACTTAACGATTATGTAGGATAAAAACTTTAGTCAATTGTAAAAAAAATATATATATGTATGTATATAAACTTCACTAATTTATTCGAATTTTCTAGCACGTTCATAAAGAAGATGATGTTACTTGGGGTGTCGCATACAAAATCAACAAGAAAGATGTTAAGGAAGTGATGGATTATCTGGATTATCGAGAGAAGGTTTGTTATTATTGAGTTTGTACAAAATTTTTGTAGATAAATGCTAATTTATTTACTTTATAGAATGGATACACTATACATTATTTGGATATATATCAATTAGAAAAAGAAGAGCCCATTATAAAAAATGTAGGAGATTAGTCATCTTTATCAGTTTCCTTTAAATTAATTTAAAAGCGTTCCAACCTTTTCTTTTTTTTTAACATCTCTCCTATTAGGCGATAGTATATATTGCTACAACCAAAAATGAGGAATATGTTGGACCAACTTCTTTGGATTTGTTGGCTCAGAAAATATATGAATGCATTGGTAAATTATTTTATAATTGTCTCATTCTTTCTTGACTTATTAATTACAATATTGAATTATTATTATTATTCTTATTATTTCATTAGGTCCAAGTGGACCTAACAGTGAATATTTACTTAACCTTGCATCTGCACTTAGAACTATAGCACCAAATGCGTATGATGCTCATTTATTTGATCTCGAAGAAAGAATATTAAAATTGATTAAAACATCAGGTTATTTATAAAATAAATATCAAATATAGTGTATAAAAGAGAATATTAATTTATTTAATTTATTATATTTTCATAGCCTATAAGTTAGTTTATTTTTGAACTTAACTATTTACAAATTATCATTTATGAAATTTGCAGCGACCCTTAATTAAAATAATATAATTAATCAATCTAATCCCCCCCCCTTTTAATTATTATAGAATAAATAGAAATTAAAAAAGTTCAAGTCTGCGTTATATTATAGAACAAATAGAAATTAAAAAGTTTAACTCTGTATTGTAATTTAATATACACTATAAAAAATCTTAGATTTATAATAAGCTATTATTATATAACAATAATTATAAATCTACAAAGTAAAAACTTATATTATACATTTAAATCTATAATAGTTAAAACAGGGAAAAAAAAGAACTTGAAGAGTCGATTATGATTTTTTATCGAATGTTTCGTTACTTCGATTTTTTGAAGCTGAAGAAGAATGGTTGGGAATTTTTTCTGTATATATGTGTGTGATTTAAAAAAAAAAAGAAAATAATTTCCAATCAAACTTGTGATTCAGATCCATCAACGGAAGTATAACCGTTTCCGTTAACATTATTAGCAGGAGTATAATCATAACCATACCCATCATCTTTTTCCTTATTATTTGAAGGTATTTCTTTTTTTGGATCAGGTTTACTATACACATATGTTGCAATTAAAACAAGTGTAGCCCCCATCAAAAATGTTGAAGTAACAATAAAATTAAAGAGATAAACTGATGCGAGGAAGCTAAGAATAATTGAGATTGATGTAGCAAATCCCTTAAGAATATTGTCTGCATATTTTACGACCATGGCAACAATAATACCACCAATAGCTTGACAGGCGATTGCTCCTAGAACTACATAATTGTAATTATAAAAGAACCCATTTTTCCAAACTCCTGCCCCATCTTTCCACCAAACTCCCATAATTAAAGCCGGGAAAAGTGAAAAGAATGAAAGTTGAACATTTCGAATCCATACGGAAGCTTTAGAATTTTTAAGAACTTTTTCAAAATATACACCAGCGATACCAGAAATTACGCAAGCTACAGCCACAGCCCCTAAACCCACAATTTTTTCCATGGTCGCATCATCATCCTCATTTGAATTTACATGATCGCTACTTGGCATTTGAACAAGTGCAACACCAAAAGTGAGTAAGACTAAAGAAAACCATTTCATTCCGCTTAAAGAAGTTTTGAGCATAATGACAGAACATAAAGCTGTTGTCAAGATTTTTAATTGATAAGTAACTTGAAAGGTAGCAGCATCCAACATGCTTACGGCAACATATTGTAAATTATTTTGAATAGTGTAAAGAGCTGCTGGAATCATTAATTTCCATGCGTCAGGTGCAAAAATTTGAGAATAGAGTTCTTGAATACTAAGTCGTCCAGTCTCACGCACTTGATTTCGTCCAGCGACATAGAGACAGATAATGAGCTTAATTAGCTCTGATAAAAATACGGCAGTTGAAGTATAATATAAATTCTCTTTATCAAGTCGAGAGTAACGCATTACGATTACTAGCGTACTATTTTGAATGCAAAGTGTGACCAAACTGACATACTTTAAAGGTATGCCGAGAATAGTTGCGTCAGCTGCCATCATAAAGATATTATTTTTTTTTTGAAATAGGAAAAAAACTCGAGATGACCAAGGGCTTATAATTGTGAGTAAAGGGTTGCAGAGCAAGTTACGAACTATGGAAAAAATATTTATAATATGATTTAACTAAATAAAAATTATAAATAGAATAAAAATAAACAAATACGCTATAAAGAAGGTCCTTTGAATCTTTAAAAAGGGTTACTTCAACCTATAACAATTTGGAAGGAGATAATTATGCTATGATTTTGATGCAGTGCAACTATAAAAACGACGAAATTTAATGATATCTTCCGACTATGGCGAAACTATATTTAGTAAGGATCCTCGCCAAAACTTTATAATTTTTAAATTAATCTGTGATTTTACGACTGGTTTTTCGTATTATGAATTAGTCTTCGATTGAAGTGAAATTCATGCGGTTTTATTGAGACGTTGGACGAGATGATTATCCGCGTTTAAATCGTCGACTAAATAATATATTCCGGAAGTTACTATTTAAAGTATTCAAAAATAAAAGAATAGAAATTTTACAGGGATTAAACCTTAATTGATCTATATTTAGAATATGTATGCCATAATTCGATTGTCTCAATGACAAACGGTTTTTAAACACAGTTGTTATATTTTTAGTAAGGAGATAACACTCCGTATGTGATAGGATCATTGGATTAATTTACCCGTTGTTTATCGCGAATCTAATAAATCTAATGGAACACAAACGATCGAGATCAATAGATGGTTGACATGTCTTGGCAAAATTAGAGAACGTAGCAAATGACAGTGGTGTAAACAAATAGTATCTTGTGTCTTGTCCTACTTTTTATTATTATTACAAAAATAGGTACTTGTGCTTCCTTGTAAAAAGCGTGTTGTTTTTCCATTTTAGAAATGTACGAGTCGATATTGCATTGGCTGATTATCATTTTGAAATTTCATTTCGTTGATTTCGTTATGATACCGTTTTTTAGAAATTTCATAATGTCCAAAGCTAGCGCCGTTAAAATTGTCCCACAAAAGCATATCGATGAAGGAACTTCATTTGCCAGTACATTAAAAGCTCTAGAAGATCCCATACCTTCTCTTCCAGCTAAACCAATTACTATTTCTATCGTTGGTGCTGGTCAGAGGTTTGTTAATTTTACGAGCCAAGAATCTTTTCAAACAAAAACCAACGATAATTACCGAATCTTATTTCTTATATTATCAGAGGTTGCGGATACGCATTTTATGCTAAAATGAATCCACAATTGGCTAAGGTTGTTGCTGTTGCTGAACCGCGTGAAAGTCGCAGGAAAAAAATGCAAGAGGTTTTGGTTTAATTACTAATGTTGTACGAATTTAAAAATTTTTTTTTTGATTTAAATTTGCTTTTTATTAGACATATAATATTCCTGACGAAAATGTATTTAGCGATTGGAAAGAAGTATGTAATTTTTATTACTTTTAAATAAACAACTTCAACAAATTAATTTAAAATCCTGAATTATTTTAGCTCGCAAAACGTCCTAAGATAAGTGACGCGATTGTAATTGCAACTTTGGATCATCTCCATATGGAACCCGCAATCGCATTTGCAGATTTAAAATATCATATTTTACTAGAAAAGCCAATGTCCGTCAATCTTGATGAATGCAAAAAAATTACCGATGCTGCAATCAGAAACAAAGTAAGGAATTACTGAAATTGGATTCTTTTATACATTACTATTTTAATTAACAAACCAAAAAATTTAATTAGATCGTGTTCTTAGTAGGTTTGTATTTTTTTCCAGATCAAGCAGATTTTCCGTTTAATAGGCAGATCGAATTTTATTAGATCATATGATTTTAATCAAACTCAAACGTCATTTATTTCAGGACACGTGTTAAGATACACTCCACATAATCGGCTTATTAAAAGAATTATCGATTCAGGGTTGTTGGGAAATATTATTAATATTCAACACTTGGAACCGGTTGGTAATTGGCATTTTGCACACTCGGTGAGTAGAAAGTTAGTTGTTTTATGGTTCAGTAAATGTTTCATACTTTTAATGAAAACATTCTTTTAATTCAAAGTATGTAAGAGGCAATTGGAGAAAAGAACAAGATTCTTGCTTTTCCCTAATGACAAAGGTATGTTTAAATGCAGTTAATATAATTACGATCATTTCTCGTATTAACTTTTGATTATAATTTATTAAAAGTGTTGTCACGATATTGGTAATTAAACACGAATTAATGTATATTATTTCATTTCAAATTAAAATCAATTCAAATTAATTAAATTAATTTACAGATTTAATGTTGCATTGGAATGATTCTCCTTGTGTGGTGATTAGACTTTTATTGCTTTTTGAGACGTTTTTTTAAATTATTTTAAGCTAAAATTATATTTACTTTAGAAAATAAGTTCATTTGGAAACTTATCACATTTTAATTCAAGAAATAAACCTACCGGAGCAGGAGATGCAAAGTATGTTACGTGAAAACTATGCTTTTTATATATATAAAAATCAAAGTTATAGAAGTTTATCAAATTTTATGTAGACGATGTCTAGATTGTGCATATGAACCTTCGTGTGCATATTCTGCGAAGAAGATTTATATCAAGTCATTTGAAAACGGAAATACTCATTGGCCCGTAAGCGTGGTTACAGATGTATTTGGTAATATTTTTTTCAAAATAATAAGAATTGACTAACATATTTAGGCACATTATATGCTAAAATATACAATTCCTAAATTTACTATAATAGATATTGAACATTTGGCTGAAGCATTAAAAACTGGGCCGTATGGTCGATGTGTCTATGAATGTGATAATGATGTTGCGGATCACCAGGTACTAATAAGCGCGACATGACTCGATTCAATTTTTTAAATTTTTGCTTTCTATGATAGGTTGTAAATATGGAATTTGCGAGTGGCGCTACAGCAACCGTTACAATGGTTGCTTTTACTGAATCCATATGTGAAAGAAAAGTAAGAATTTAGTATTTATATATTTTTTTTCATAAATAACCTCGAGAATAAAGATTAAAAGTCTCTCTTTTATTTAATAAAAAAAAGACTAGGTAAAGGAATCCATTATCAAAATATTGGTGTTCTTATATACGAATTAAAAATAAATTTTACTATATAAAAGGATCTTTGGCTCTCTTGGAGAGATAGAATGTGATGGTATGAACACAATAAGCTATTATAATTTCCTAACGAAAAAGAAAGAAATTCTAAACGCTAAAAATATCACTGGTGGTACTGATTTGGGTGGCCATGGTAAGTTTTATTCTAATTTAATGTAACAATTAGTTTTTAATTAATATGTTAAATATCATTAATAATTACAGGTGGAGGTGACATTGGCTTAATGGAAGCATTTCTTTATGCAATTTCATCAAAAGACGAATCTAACAAATTTAATGTTTCAGGAGCTGAAGAAACATTCGGTAATTAGACATCATCATTATTATTTATTATCTAAACAAGAAAAGCTCGAAGTAAAATAATTCTATAATTCTGAATATGAATAGATTCCCATTTATATGTGTTTGCCGCGGAACATTCGAGGAGAATCGGACAAGTTGTTAATATTGAAGATTTTAAACACAATACTGACAAAACCGAAAATGATATTTAAAATACTGATTGATTTAAAGCTATAATTTGTATTAACGTAAATAAATTTATTTATTATAAAAGAAACTTATTTATTTTTTACGAGAAATCTAAACCACTTAAAGAGGATTTATTTTAAGATTGGTTGAACACTTTACTTTCAATATAAATTGCGATCAGCAAACAGTAAACTTTTCACGATCTGACGTTAACGTTTGTCCGATTAACATATTAATTACTAACTTTGATATTAAACTAAAATGGATTTTCCGACGCGATTGCAAACAAAATTCAGACACATATATCTGTTTGTTATTTTGTTCTTAACAGGAAATTTTGATGATTAGTTCAACCCATGATTAAATATATGTGACTTATTTGTACATCAATGTACTAGCTGTAGTACAAGAAGGTTTCATTTATAATATAGCGTTTTGATATATAATCAATTTTACAATTTAGTCATTTATCATTTGGATCGTGATACATTTTTTCACTGTTCAAGACTTTTGCAATCATTTTTGATAATAAAACTTTAGCTCCGGTTCAAAACATGTATTCATTCGCTAGCAAAATATATAATAGTGTAGTTGGAAGTTCCGAAGAACAAATTATCGAGGAAAGTACAGAACAAGAAATTACTAAAAATACAAAAACCACAAACCAAACTATAGAAGAAACCTCCCAAGCTGGACAAACGACCGTAAAAGTTTCGTTGACGACGGAAGAGAATTTAAGTACCGCAAATGTTACCAAAGAATTTACAGTTCCACTTTCTGTGCCGAAAATGCAAGTGTCTGATTTTAATGGTATGCATAAAATCGAATTTTTGATATTAGTTGTATTATAGTTTCTAATAAGCTTTCGCCATATTCATAGGTATAATATCCGATGTTGCTCCAACGTTCCCAAGTATTGACAGTCCACAACGTTCCAAAAAACGAACACCTCTGGAGAAAGCAAACAAACTACGACAAAAGATTGCTTTGGAACCCGGTCATTCCCCATTAGATTGGGCAAAATTAACCAGTAGTGGAGCTAACCTTAGGGTGATTTGAAAAGATCTATTTGTAATAAACTGTGAATTAAAGTTAATTTTATGTCTTTATTTGATAGGGAGTTTCAGAAATAAGAAAGTACCCCATTGAAGAAGTTAGACTTCATAAGACTAAAGATGATGCATGGACAGTATTTAATGGCAAAATTTATAACATTACTCCATATCTCAAATTTCACCCTGGAGGTAAGCTCTATGAAAAAAAAGGATAATTATAATTATATATATTATTAATAATTTAAAATTTTGCATCATTTCAAAAAGGTGAAAAAGAGTTAATGAGATCTGCTGGTAAAGATGGGACCAAATTATTTAGTAAGTTAGATTTAATACTGAATAATATCCCTAAAATAATCTTATTTAATTCTCTTTTTTTTTCCTTTTCCTTTTCCTTAGTGACAACACACGCATGGGTAAATTATGAGTTCATGTTGGAAAAATGTTTTGTCGGTTTTCTAGTTGGAGAACAGCATAATTTATTAACTTAAATAACTTAAATATAAATTGGACATTATTAATCCACCAATAATATAAATAATATAAAAACTAATTTTTCTAATTTATTAATATTCACTTAATAAAAGATTACTACTTCACAATTTTCCTTGTTCGCTTAATTCTTGTTTCTCTTTATCACTAAGTGACCAGAATTCACTAATTTTGTGATGATACCAATTTCGTATCTAAAATTTTTCGGGATATAAATAGAAAAGCACAACCAGCAAATAAAATATCTTGGAATTTAATAATAAGAAAACATACAGGTACAAAACAATGACTATCTTGTCCAAAGTCTGCATATAATACGATATATACTCCAGTAGCTAATAATAAATTCGAATTATTCACTTTAAATTGCAATTAGTTAATTGCTCTTCACGTTCTTACTTACCTACACTTAAAACAATACTACCAACATGATAAGACCTTGAATAAGGTGATAAATATCGTACTAAACCTAAATTTTGTACTCTTCTACCATACTTTAAGAATAATGAAGGATCTGCTGTTTCCTTTGTTGGAATCGGCGATTTTGGAGAAAATTTATTTATTCGCATTATTGTTTTTTTTTTATTTTTATATTTTAAGAAAACGAAAACTTTTTTTTTTTTTTCAGCTATTTATACTTTTTTCTAAACGTGCTACGTGATACAATCTATCAAACCAATTATAAAAATTGAGATAAGATTTATTCCAGAATTTAAAATTTCTTAGCCATATGCAGTATTAACGAAAACTGTCAAATAAACGTCATACTAATAGTGAACATAAAAATTATAATTAGACTTTCAAGAGATTATAAATTCGTTACCAATTACATTTAACCACATAAAATCTATTTACTCGGGTTGTAAAAGACATCCACTAACAATACGTTTTCTAAAATCATTAATATAGGCAACCATATTTTCAGTATCATCTAATTTGACACCAGAAGATCTAACTGTGGGACCAATTTCTCTTTCTAATTGAATTAAAGATGATTTAATTTTTTCAATATATTCTGTTAATTCGTTGTTTAATCTTTGTATTTCATCAGATTCTTTTAGGGTTTTTTCAGATTTAGCTTTAAGTTCTTGAATTTTTTCACGAAGATCATCAATTTCTATTGAAGTTAATTTATTTTCTTGTTCAAGTTTTTGTTGTTGAGTACGCTTGCCTAAAAATATATTTTATTTGCGATAAGTAATTGTTAATGTGGTTGAAAAAGTAAATAGATTGACTAATATAGTTACTTCGGTCATAATTAAGAAATTTCTTAGTAAAAATGGGAAATCCAAGACGTTTTTGTAAATTCACTTGTTCACTTTCTGTGAATAAAATTAATTTTATATTTTTTTGAAACCGTAATGATATACTTATAAAATATGAACGATTTATACCAGAAGAATGACCAGAATTAAGCGTATCTTCAAAATCTTCATGAAATTTTTCAACAATTCCCTATTAAAAAACACGATATAGTAAAATTTATAAACGAACAGCAATAAAAAGAGTACTAGTTCATACCTTTTGATTTACTATAGCTGTAATAGATTCCTTTGGATTTTTATTTTGATCGTCAACATCTAAGGTTAAATAATTACTATCATAGTCTTCAGATGAACCAGAAGTTGGTTCATAATAGTCTGCTACCTTTCTCCCACTTCTGGTTCGACGTTGTTTTAGTTTATCATTAGCGCCAGCTGCCTTCTCCGAAGATCTTTTTATTGTGTTTACATTACTACTACCTTGACTAGAAACATATTCTTTTAATGATCTACCAATATGAAATTAATCCGTAATATTAGAATTACAAAGGATAAAACGAAAAATTAATAAAAACTTCAAATTTTACCTCATATTTTTTGCGCGTTGAGCTCGTGTAAGAGTCATTTTGCAATAAGAACAGTATTTTCTTTTATATTCGAAATAATTTTTTGAATAATTACAAAAATATAAGCGGGAGAAACAAAAAAAAAAGGATAGTTTGGAACAATAAAGTTACAAATACCCTTTTATTTACTAACCATTGTTAACTCAAAATCAAAGAATTTATTGATCCGTATATTTATTAATAAAAGTAAATACGTAATAATATTTATATAATAATTTGTACGTCTCATGCAGTTTTTAAAACCCGAATTTATTAATTTGATTTGTTTCCAAACTGCGACAACAAAGAATAATCATCAACAAGGGGGAATAAAGAAAAAATTGGAAATTAAATCAGTCAGTATCACACGCCAAGTTTGTTGCCATTGTTAAACTCTTCATTGTCATTTTCCGCAGTATAAGTCGCAATACAGTATGAAGTTTAGAGAGATCGATATTTGAAAAACTTTAAATCGCGTCGCGGGGTTATTGTCTGATACTTTGCTATTTTTGGCTATTAATTAGTGAATCATTTAATATAAAATGGTAACAATTAATACATATATTATTTTTTTTATTTCAAAGGAATGGTTCATTCACTTGATTCATGATTTATCATACTTATTCGAACTATAAATAATGCTATATCAAACTCTACATATGCCATATAACGTTTTTTCCTTTTTTAATTTTTTATCACACCGGCCCATCTTCAGCGCTAACAGTAAAAAAAAATGATATATAAAAAACCTTATTTCTCCAGCGAAGCAGCATACACCTGTAAAGAGATTAATAAAATAAATCTATTATATTATTAAATAATCAAGGAGTCCAGTTTGTAAACGATTATCTTTCTCTCATATCATATATCATAAGAGTTATCGAACTTATGTATAAGATTTTCATTTGTATGCTTTATTGTTTGTTTCCTTTAATAAAAATTCTAGTCTTCAAGGAGAGAAAAAAAGATCGAAAATTAATCGGAATTGATGGTAACTGGTTGCCTTTTTTAGTTAAATATTGTTTAATGATAGGAAAAATTTGTATATGGATTAATAATAAATAAAATAAATTAGATTGAAATCATTAATCTCTTAAAAATTGTGCTGCCGTACAGTAAGTAAATCCTCTGGTAGATTTATGGAAACACGATAAATTTAATATGAGGCTAGTATTAGCCAAAAGTTTTACTTCCTTCCTTTTAATTCAACAATTTGATTTTTATATGTTTGTTCATTATAATAATAAAGAAAAAAAATCAAAAAGTTTTCTATCTCAATTATTTTATACAGAAAATTACAGTATAATAGCATATATGTACATATTTTTGAAATTATTATTAATGGGCAGATAAACATTGATGATTGGTTATTTCCTGTATAAGTTTAAGTTAGTCAGATATGGAATCACTATAACGTTATTGTTGACTTGTTATTATTATCATTTCAGTCATAATTACCATTATTTTAGCTATTATAATTTGCATAATTCCAAATTTGATAGCATATATTTTGGACTATTTGATTAGAGTTAACTATAATAGCCAAATTTTTAAAGATTAATAATTTGTTAAATTCTTTATATTTTTATTTTTTTTAATTTATAATGTAATTGAAATAAAATATATCTTAATAAAAATTTTTTTTTAAATTTAATTTTAATTATTATAAAGAGTTTTGCTAACTTGCCCTTGGGTTAAATAACCTGGGTTAAATCACCTTCTAAAATTTATATATATAGATTTTATTTATTTGGATATTATAAAGCATAATGACCAAGTTTTTTTACATGTCTCTTATTTTTTATTGTAATCATAATTTACATTTTTTTTTTGAAAATTTGGGCAAATTATATAATTATATAAAATTTACTAATAGGTTAAATTACCTAAATTAAATCACCAGCAGGATTAAAATTAGTCTTATACTAAAAAAACTGCATTAAATTTTATAATAATTAATTTTAAAAACTATATATAATTAGATCTTCATATAATTATACTTTATATAATTACAACTTTATATCATTAATAATGTTTTGAAAATTAGGATTTTTAAAGGTTTTTTTTAATTAAATGTATAAAGATCCTTAAAAAATCATTCTTACTATACTTCTAAAGATTCTTAACAAAAATTTTATAAAATTCTTAAAAATCTATAAATTTTTAAAGACTCTTTAAAAAATTCTATCTCTTAAACTGTAAGAATTAAAATTAATTTTAAAAATTTTTGAATTTTTAAGATATTTTAAGATTTAATAATCATAGAAAAATAAAGTTAAATTTATTAAATTGCTTTTATTAATGCATATTTAATGGTAATAAAATCATATTTCTAAAATTAATAAATAAAAAGTTATATTAATTTATAAATTTTTAGATTTATAAGATATTCTACTATATAATATTTATAGAAAAACAATTTTTATACTATTAGATTCTTCTTATTAAAATGCATTAAATGGTAGTAATTTTATATTTCTAGAATTAATAAATAGAAAGATATTTTAATTTAAAAAATTTAATTACTATTTATTATAATTTATTAATTATTTATTTTTAAAAAATTGGTTTCTAATAATCACATGAACAATTTTTTTCCAAGAAATTATTAGCAACTTTTTTGTTAAAAAATGGCTTCAAGCACTAACAATTGACCTAAAGTTGACTATTTAAAGGTCAAACAACTTATCTTTTCAGGAGCAGTTTTTCTTACACTTTTATGATTACGGTTATTTTCTATATCTGCTTTTTTTTGCATGATATTCATAAAAATTCTTGCATTTAAATATACAACTTATTATTTTGCCATGTTTATTTCTTTTAAATCAACACTTTAAAATCTCAAAATCAGTTTCTGTTACATATTTCTCAATTTGACTTTCAGCTAGATCCTAGTCTTCAAAGATATTTCATAAAAGAGCAAGAACTTTAATAACTTATGAATTAATATCATTAAGTTTATTTTAACAGTATTATTTTGATATTATTTTGATATTATTTTGATATTGATTCAATATCAATATGATATCAAAATAAAGTATTATCATTTTGATATCATATTAATATTAAATTGATATTAAATTAATATTGAAATGATATCAAAATAATAATTGAAATGATATCGAAATAACATCTTTAAATTAAACTTAAATATATCATTTCAATGCCATTTCAATTATCATTTTAATATCATTTTGATACTATTTCAATATTATTTTGATATTGAAATAATAATATTTTATTTTGAAATCATATCAATATTAAATTAATATTAAATCAATATCTTGAAGTTTCTGTAAAGTAGATTAGAGAATCTAACCTAGAATAGATAGATCATGCATAATGGCGTCTGCAAGTAATACATTTTATACATAGCGCTTTTAACTAATTTTATTAGGCGATCATGCATACAGATTATATAGCTATCGTTTTGCAAAAAATAAAGTATAAGCTATATTTGACTAAATATAATTAAGATACATAATGCTAATATTCGGTTAAAAGATATTAAGTCTATTTTCTTTCTGCATTTATCCGCACAGAATCAAAATATGCTTTAGCAAGATCGCCTAAAGTAATCCTGCTAGAAATATTATTAGGCATATTTGATTAATCATTTCAAAGATTTCTAATCTCAAGTGCACTTGCACTACATTGCCTGGTAGGTGAAATATAAGTTGGCTTGAAATTTGAAGCACTTGGTATAGTATTTTTTGCTATAGATGCTTTAACCTGTGTATAAGCTTCATAGAGAATTGTACAAGTATCATAATCATATAATATTAATGCCAATTGAATGTAGAGTAGATTGGAATGAAAGCTCTAGCTGAAGACAATTAATTTTAACCTCTTCTTGTAATATATATTGTTTATATTGCCAGATCTGAAATTTCTTACTATCAATAGTTTGGAGAATTTCATTTCTTCTTGCATGTTCATTCAAAATAATATTTCCAAAAATACATCTTTTCAAGTAGCTATCATGACTGCGATGGTTGCTATAAAAAAATTCCAGGTATGAAAACTAAGGAGTCACATATACTACAATATATATAATTTGTTCAATTAGTGTGGACTTTATCATTTTCATAAAGTTTTCCATACATTATAATATATCCATTCTTAGAAAGGATTCTTGGATTCTCTTCAAGTATTTTTTTAAATAGATCACGAATATGGAAGCATCACATTTCTAGTATTTTGTGATCACATCTTTTTATTAAAGGTAATATTGCATCAAGTATTCTTATATATTCTTCAGAACCTCCATAAGTATTGTTTACATCAATTAGCTTAGAATAGGTTTTACTATTTAAATCCATAATACTGTTTTAGTAAATTTTAATGATTTTTAGTGATTTATAATATTTTTAGCAAATTCACTGATTTATAGCAATTTCAGTGATTTATAGTAAATATATTATAATAAAATATCAGATTCATTTTTATTTGATTATCCCTATATTTAGGATATATAATGATTCAGTTAAATTAGACCCAATCTTTATGAACAGTTAAATTATGCATAGCGTCTTCACCCTTCAGCTAAATTTGTATTACTCTAATTTCCTGCCAGTTTCTTGATAGTTCTAGAAGAGTTCCAGGAGCTGGTGAGTTTCTATAAATACGAGATAAACAGCTAATCAGATTTCACCACCATTGATCTATTAACATGATGGCTAAGCTACCGTTATTATTTGATTAAATCATTCTTGAATCTAAGCAAAAATACCTCATTACGTATTTTTGGTTGATAATAAAAACCTTTGTCATCCAAAATCTCAGGATTTAATAATTAATCCAATTCGCTTATTTACTGTTGATTTGTGATGTATAGCTTGATCCAATATTAAAAAATACTAACCCTCCTGTGATAAAGCAATCAGTTAAAAAAATACTAGGCCCAAAAATATATCAGATATGCGAAGCAATTTAACTGAAACAAAGTTTGGATCTAATTTAGCCGACTCGGATACATGTTGATTGAACTGCGCAGAATCATAACTGATATATATTATATATATTTGTGCAATATCTGATATTTCGGCTAGATTGCATAAAATGTAAATCGAAGTCATGTGACTCAACTCCTATTAAATCATTTTCGCCAAGAAAAAATTTTGTGAATAAGCACAGTAGACTTCCATGTAAATGCCTACAGCTAACACTTTTATTTATTCGCTTTCTTTCGATTATTCTGATTCACATTATATGCATTATATGCTCATTCGCTTCACTGAAAAGCCAAAAAGCCTGATATAGCTAGCTTGATACGAAGTTAAAAAAATATGTTTTTTTAGCAAGAATTTTTCTGGCGCATTTCAGGTGATTAATCTCATATAATGAAGTTGCTTTACTATGCATATCATATTTTACAGATGTAATCCACCGCACATGATATGAGTTAAATCTCACCCTGTAAAAAATCTGATCTGTATTTTATCTTTTTATGAATGTATCATTTTCATGGAATTAATAACTTCAAATTATGGAAATTTTCATCTCGCTAACATGGATATCCGTAAATATATCATTTTCACAGAATTTTTACAAAAGATATGGAAAAATAATGGAAATATTCAGATAAAAATTTTTATAGGGTTGGCAAAAATTTTCCCGATATCATCAAACCTTTCACATGACTATTTTTACTTCACTTATGCCTCTACTGCTATACTTTTGACCTGGGGGCAAAACTTTATTTTAAACACAATATATTTTGAGTTCACAAATGCAGTAAATAATGAATATTTCACAATGATGTGCACAATTTTTTTTTTGTATTAAATAACTAAGCTGTGCATTTCAAATACAAATTATTTAATAATCAGCAAAGATAATTATTAAGCATAAATTTATCAAAGCGTATCATATAAACTAAATTAGTAATGCTTCTTCCTTGAGCTCTTCTTTTTCTTGCGTTTCTTTTCAATAGGGAAGGTATAGTGTTCAAGTGGTGCTAAAAGAAAATAAATATAAAAATTTTTAAAATGAGTAAATTTTGCATATACTATCCTTAATTTCTACATAAACATTTTTAAATGAATAATAAATTTTGCACATACCATTCTTAATTTCTTCAATAATTCCTACATCAGGTCTTAGGATCCATGGCACCTGGTCAGTTGCAAGTCCTTTTGCCACTCTTTCCACTCCTTTGAAGTAATCCCCAAGAAACCATAATGCATCTGTCATACCATCCAAATTAAATACACGACCAAAGCAGTCCAGAAAAAGCATTCCATAGTGAAGTTCTCCAATGATAATGATATGATCAAAGCCATACCTATTAACTTCCTTAATATAACCAGTAAATTCTTCTTTTATATAACTGATATAGTCTTCTTGATCTTTATCGTGAAGCTTATAGCCGAGTGAGTTTGCAATATAGCAACGGTTTGGATTCATAAAGGTTTCAACTACCATGTGAAAATTATTGCAGTACCCATGTATTTCATTCTTCTCATCACTCACCAACACTTGCCACATGGAAGAATTATCCTCATTTTTTTGAATTTTAGGTCGATCGTCTGGAAGTACAAGGTGGCATGGCTCCCATGCAATGCTCTCAAGGGTATCAACTCGGAGCAATTGCCCCAAAGATAAAGACAGATCTCGAATTCTATCTGAATATGCTGAAGCAACCATTTGAATACCAGTATTGTTGCTATTCTCTTCGCTGCTATTAGGTATTGGTCGTTGTATACATTGACTAATAGTTTTCCACTGCGAATTGATGCCCTGAACATAAACCATATTATCTCCCCTTCTTCCACTGAAATCGTTAAATTTACTGTTGATGGGCAGAAAAACCTCACCACTTCCATCATCTCGATTTTGTCGATCAAGCTGACTTGCATTCTGCCAAGGTAACTTATCTTGTCTTGATAGTTCATCCCATCCTCGAAACCCATTATCATGAGATAGTGTGTCCATAGCAAACACACTACATCCCACACCATTATCATGGGAACTTGGCAACAAAATGGTGGAGTCACCATAATACCCACAGTCCTGAACGGCATTATGATTCCCTGAGTCCTATACATTTGTTAAATACATATTTTCTACCTTTGAAAACTAAGATACTGTACCTGAAAGGTGTAATGAAATCCACTATTAGTTTTTTCACCCATTTTTCTTGCAAAGTGTCTAACCAGTCAAAAGCATAAAACCTATGTTTGGATATATCTTGGAATAGCTGGAATAGCGTCGCTCATTGTGCAACGAATCAAACCCGCTTTGGATATCATTTTGGAATATCATTATTATTTATAATTATAAATAATGATATAATAAACTCTACATGATTATATTTACATCATTACATCATGATTATATTTACAACATCATTACATCATTATAGTTGATCAAAGATCCTTAAAAAATAAAGCCTCTGCGATGGCATAGGCGCAGTTAAATTTTGGTTGACATCCCACGGATTTCAAGCGATAAATGTAATATATAACATGACGCAATAAAAAATAAATACAAAGATCGGAAGCCAATTTGCAACATGCGTTATACGTACAAATACAAATACAAATACAAATATGTTATAAGTTATTGATTATAGGAGATCGAAACTTTCGGTTGCTTGATCAACGAACTCCCTAATTTTTTGTATCCTTTTAGGAATAACGATTTCTGGTTTTTCGTCGTACCATACTTCAAGAAGGAAGATTCCATCATCCTGGCATATGCATCTTTTTTGCTAACGATGTCCTCGAGTTTTTTGACATCTTTATACCAGCTAGTGCTATGTTGCCGATGTTGGGCCCCTTGCACCTCTCGATATTTTTGGAAGAAGGCATCAAGTTCTAATCCGTTCAAGAAGGGAGGACGATATTCAATCATAGGTTCCTCATTAAGAATTTCCTTAGCTATCTGGATGCATCTAGTCTGAAATTTGCGATTTTTCTTAGTTTCTCTTTCTGCCTGATCCTGCTCTAGTTTTAAAATTCTAGCTCAAGCTCGGCACGCCTAGCTTTCTCCTTGGCCTCAAGCTCAATGATCAATACTTCAAGCTCAGATATCAATTTCATATACGAAAGAATTATTCAATGTTACATGGCAAATGAAAAACCGCTTTATTAATATATGTGAAAATAAATACAAAGGTTGGGATGTAGCCCAGGATACATCATGACGAATTTTCTATACTAAGACTTAACTACACTATCTGTAAGATTGCTCGATGACCTATGCTTTTTTATTACCCTTTCTTCACTTCGAGAATCAGAATCCGGCTTCTGCACCTCCTCCAACAACCATGCAATATGCCCGAGGACTCTTTCAACGTTATCACCCATATTCTTACTATCATATACAACAGTTACCGGCTTCGATAGTTTGAATCTTAGCCTGTCCTGATTATCGAGAGAACACTCCATAAAATACCATTCTTTTGCATCTGTGATGATTCCGAAAGCCTTACCTGTAAACACACTTTCTTCCTCCATCTCGCTTGCCTTACGTTTACGGTTCGATAAAGCAGATTCAAGTTGTACAGCATTCTGGGCAATACCCTTAAAAATATCTTCGTCCTTTACTTCTGTCACGCCAACAGTTTTTGAGGTTTGGAGTAAATCTATTGCGAAATCAACTGGTCCATGACCATTAGGACCTGTGATATTTTTTTCTGGTCGAAGCTCGAACTTCCCTTCGTATAGATTCGCTCCGGCAACAAGGTAAGAACATACGTATTGTGATTTTGATGCTTCATTTCCGCTGATTGGAATGGACTTGAGACGGGCATTTAGTTCGGCTATAAGATGTTTAAGTATCACCTGGGAAGAATCATCTCCCAGATCTTTGATCCCGCAAGTGAAAGGCGGAAAGACAGATAATGAAGGACCCTCTGATTCACAGAGTTCGTAAAGCTGGCACACTTCTTGGAAAGTCCAGTCCGAGAAAGCGTCTCTATGAGAACAATTAACTTAAAATTGTTATTTAATACGAATTGCCGGAGCATTTTGCAGAAGTCTTGATCACTCTGAGGTGAATATCTTTCATCCCCGCTTATGAATTTTAATGCCGCTCCATCTTTTTCAAGAGACGGTGGATTATATTCTATTCCTTGAGGCCTTCGAGAGTCGCATCTCTAACATTTACGTTCCACTTGAATCCATTCGTTCGTTTCGGGCTCACGATAACGTCGAACACTGTATTATAATGGCGGGTTAGTAAATTCCCACGAAGAGGTCTTTCCCACTATTTCATACGTACCATATTCAAACTTGTTGAGTGCTTCCTCCAACGAGGCGATACGGTCAAGCAGTTCCTGTTCACGGCTCGAAGTGGCGGTGGTCTCTGGCGGAGAGACTAAGACATGAATATGTTCCTCGGGAGGTGAGTTAGGGAAGTATTTCGAAAACTTTCTTATTGCTAACAGCTCGTCACTGTCCTGGAGTGAAAGATTGCTTAAGGGATCGACATGATCGTCAGAGATTGGCACTTTCCATAGCCTGAGCTTGTCTGCGTCTACACCAGCAAAGTCATTTTGCTTTTCCGCCTTGATAACTTTTTTGAGGTGGCTAATAGACTTGTCCTTCTCAATATCAACTTCGAAAGCGTTCGCGGTTGTATTTCCTTTGAATAAAGTGATAGACATGTTTTCGGCTTATATAGTATTTTTTGTGAAATTTTATTGGTGCAAACTAGCGTATGTGAGGACAAGAGTAAAAAAGTAAAAAATACTGAGGCAGTCTATCGCTAGGATCTTCTTATAATATTATATAGTTAAATAAAAATTTAACAAAAGTATTATTATCAGTAGTGACAGTTACTAGTGGTAAATTTATAATGTAATACCAGTCAAACAGCTAGTATTTTATTAGATTTTTAATTAATGTTAATATGGTATAATATATATTGCATTTTGATATTTTACTTTCAAATATAGTATAGTTGAATTTTTTTAAAATCATATATTTAGTAGTTAATTATAATAGAATTATATAACAGGGTATTAAATAAAAAGCTTATTAATTAATTTATAAATATAGACTTTAAATATTTTCTGTTAAAATCTATCTTAAATCTGTATTACCTAAGCCATCTTTTCACCTGATATCTCAATATAATTGATTATTTAATGCTGCGCCATTAATATCAAATTTGTATTACTCGATTTAATTAAAAGTGATTAAGATTAAAAATATCCATCAAATAATTTCCTTTTTTGTAAATGAAATTTGAAGGTAATGCCAATTTGCTAGATTTGCGCCCTTGAACGTTTGAAGGCGTTAGATAATCTGACATATCATCGATACTGCCAGTACTGCCAGATAATCATGTCAAACTAAAATTAGTATAATGATTATCAAATTAAAATTATCATAATTATCATCGGTATTTGGCGGGCTATCCATCTTATAACTGATTGAGCTAAAAAGATATAAAGGAAAGAATGAAAGTTTCGTTTTCAAGATATTACTTCAACATCCATTCCTCTGAGTGATTTTTATTAAACTTTAACAAATTTCCTTGAAAGAAAATAAAGAATATGTCACAAGGTCGCGTTCTTCTCGCTTACTCTGGTGGTTTAGATACTTCATGTATTCTTGTATGGCTTATTGAACAAGGTTATGAGGTAATTGCTTATATGGCCAATATTGGTCAGGAAGAAGACTTCGAAGCTGCTAGAGAAAAAGCCTTGAAAATTGGCGCAAAAAAAGTTTACATCGAGGTAATAATCAAAACAAATATACTTTTTTGAAGACTGATCGGTTTTAATAATAAAAATTATTTTCATTACGAATAGGATTTAAGACAAATTTATGTCGATGAACTCATTTTCCCTGCTATTCAAGCTAATGCAATATACGAGGTATGAATTTTAAAGAATGATTGGCCATTTGTCATTAATCTTAACAATGTTTATACAATCGTTGTTAGAACGTTTATCTATTGGGTACTTCTCTAGCTCGTCCCGTTATTGCTCGTAGCCAGGTAATTATTATATATCTTTAACTATAAACTTTTAAATCGACAAATAATAACCTTTCAATTATTACATGTAGATTGAAATTGCTACTAAAGAAAATTGTCAATTTGTATCCCATGGATGTACCGGTAAGGGTAATGATCAAGTCCGTTTCGAGTTAGCATATTATGCTTTGAAGCCAAGCATCAAAGTCATTGCTCCATGGCGTATTCCTGGTAAGTAATATAACCATTTCCTTATTTCTTATTAATGATATTTTTAACATATATTATCTTTTTTATCATTTACCCAAAAAGAATTTTACGAACGTTTCCCTGGTAGGCAAAGTCTTTTAGACTATGCAGCTCAAAAGGACATACCAGTCTTTCAAACTAAATCAAAGCCGTGGTCAACAGATGAAAACTTGTAAGTCCTTATAGTTATGGTATATAATTTTTTTTTTTTTCGTATTTCTAACTCAGAAATGACGATTTTAGGTTCCATATTTCTTACGAGGCTGGTATATTAGAAGATCCTAATGTAACGCCGCCAAAAGATATGTGGAAATTAACTGTAGATCCCGAAGATGCACCTAATACTCCTGAACGTATCACTATTACATTCAAACACGGTATACCGGTCAAAGTCGTAAATAACGATGACGGTACCACAAAAACTGATTCTCTCGATTTATTCATCTATCTTAATACAATTGCGCGAAGAAACGGCATTGGTCGTATTGATATTGTTGAAAATCGATTCATTGGTATCAAGAGTCGAGGCTGTTATGAAACTCCTGGGGGAACAATTCTCAGAGCAGCTCATATTGATTTAGAAGGTTTGGTCCTTGATCGTCAAGTTCGAGCATTGAGAGATCAATTCATTACACCTCAATTCTCACAAATTTTGTACAACGGTCAATACTTTTCCCCTGAACGCGAATTCTTATCTGCTTCTCTTGAAGCTAGTCAAAAATCTATTAATGGGGAAGTAAGATTGAAGCTTTATAAAGGGAATGTTATAGTTGAAGGTCGTAAATCTGATACTGTTAAATTATACGACATGGAAGAAAGTTCTATGGATGTTCAAGGCGGATTTAGTCCAACTGATTCTGATGGTTTCATTAAGATTCAAAGTATAAGATTGAAGAAATGGGGAGAAACTGCTTTTGGCAACAATTTATAATTTAGTTATTTCATTATTTCATTATTAATTTGTTTTCAATTTGTGAAATTTCTTCATTGCATTTTCTTTTTTCATACCGCAATTTCCTTAATTTAAAAGTAATATACAATAAAAATTAAAATGATATAAATTTTTTTGATTTCAACCATTTTATAATAAAATTACAATTAAAATAAAAACATTTTTTTTGTGTTGACTAAAGAAAGTACAGTAACTGTGACTAGAATGAATTTGTAATTATATCTTCGGATATAGCATATTAAAATGGGAGTTATTTAGAATATCTATATCAAAGTACAGAAAGAAAAATGGAACAAAAAAATTAATATTTATGGTCTTTTTTTTAAACGCACGTTGTCTTTAAATATATGAGTAAAGCTTATACGTTATAAACGGCAAAGAGTTTGTTTAATCATGCTCGGATAAAAAATCTGAGGTAATGGTAAATTAATGCTATATTTAGAACTATCATCCGATCGACTGTGTATAACCTAGAGTGGAAAATTTTTTTTTTTATCAACGATGACTAAAAACGAGAATGCTTCTATTGCTGAGCCAGAAGTTGTAATATTTAATGATGGGTTACTTAAAAAATCCTTAAATAAAAGCGGTTCAAGCATTACTGAATGGAAATCATTCATGGTTTGTCACCATTTTATTCTATTCGATATGTTTTTTAAGTTGAATAATAATAATTTAATTATTTACACATTAGTCTCACAAAATTTCTAAAGTAAATGAAAACCCTCAGAAATCATTGTCTAAAAATATAGTAAGATCAGATGAGGAGTAAGTTCGCTTTTTAAATAATTGAAGTTGTTAATAATGTTCTGATTATTAGTATAAAATATAGGATAAATAGAAAGAATGATGAAGAATTAGAAGAATTATTAAAAACTACCAAATTATTAGAAAAGTATAGTAAGTTAATTTTTTAGATTTTTTTTTATAAAATGTGAGAGTTTATTTTATTTTATTATATTTTTCGTTAGCTACTGAACAGTTATCAGGAAAAGATCGTAGAAAATACGTTGAACAAAAAGTGGTTGAATTAGGTGCAAAAGTAAGTTATTTACTTTAAAATTTCCTTAGTTTACAATTAAGCATTATCTAATTTTATTGTATAGCCAAAGAAAGGTGTGAAAATTCCAACGCCAATATCTTTAGAAATTCAATCAAAACGTCAAGAAAGAGAACGCAAAGAACTTGAAGAGGTGAATATTCGACTTTCTGTCCATTCACTAAATGCATTCTCATATTAACTCATAATTAATATTTTATAAAAGGCAAAAAATCTGGGTCTTTATCATAAATCAATTAAACATAAATGGGCATCATCGTCATCATCATTATCAAAATCACAAAAAGTGCGAGACAAAGGTATCGGCATGGGTATAGGTAAAATTAAGAATGGTATGTTAGTTTTGAGTTCTAAAGATATTAAACATGTACAAAATAGCAGAAATGGTAGTAATAGTGGAAAATTAAAGAAACATGGTGGAGATATTAAAAAGAAAAAGTTCTTGTCCAAAAAACGAAAATAAATTATTTTATAATTATTCTACGATACCACTGAAAATTTAGAAATCCTGGTAATTATGTTTTAAGTAGAAAAGAAATTGTTGTCTCGTGACCATATTGTATTCCTCCGGGTAATAATTCTGATTTAAAGAGACTTAGGCTGGTTCCCGCAAGTTTAATATGTCTACAGACACAGTAGTAGTACTTGGTGATGCGTTGCTTGATTGTAATTGAAAGCATGAAAGTTTTTGCTTGGAATGCTTACGAATTACAAATTTACAATTACAGTAACACTAATCATGTTGACGATTTCTTCTGAACAAATTCTTATATTTTGGATAGGTAGTGAATTTAATTATACAAAGTTTAATATTTATAAACATTAACATATTATTATCGTTCATATGGTCAACTTGATAGAATATTTACTCTATCTTAATTAATTTAAATTTTTCCATTTGTATCAAGTCGTTTTGAACTTGTAATTGTAGCCAACGTTCTAGTAATATAGGGATGAATTAGAAAACATAAATAAATGATATTATAATCCAATATGATTTTATTCCAAGTGCTAAAATAACAATACTTATTCAAATCTCAATTTATCTCAAATATGAAATTCTATTGAAACCCAAGAAATAATTATCTTCCAAAAATATTAAACTTTTCAGTTATTTAAACTACTATAATTCAGTATCTAAATGATTAATGTATTCACTACTAACAATTTAATCATATGATCATGTGATAATTCTTGTACTTAAAGAATATTTAAGTAAGACAAAAAGAAAAAAAGTGGAAGTCACATTGAAACAGTACTTTGGTAGCTACTAAATTGGTTAATTAGAAGTATTTTAAATATTTAAACTAAAAATAAAGAATAGATAAAAAATAGGAATTAATATATTTTTTCATAAATATATTGTATTACTTCAACATTATTATCAATAAACATGATTGCACCTTTACAAAGAAAAAAAAAAAAAAAATATATATATTTTTCATATTTCAAAAAATGGGGTTAAGTAATTGTTATAAAGATTAAGAGTAAAAAGAAATATGTAACAGTTACTATATCCTTAGATTTTAATAAATAGGTAATAGGACTATAGAATTAAGGAGTTTGGACTGTTTTTTTAAGAGAATTCTCTATTTATTAGTACTTAGCTAATTGAAATCTTCAACAATGAAAGGAATGAAAATAATTCCAAATCATAGTTAAAAATATATCTAGGACTATAACCATCTTAATACTATATCCTTTAAATCCTTTTCAATCATTAACTCTTATATAAAATATAAAGCTTTTAAGGTATTTCAAGTAGTATATAAATTAAAAGTCATATACATAGTTAATAGATTTTATTAAATTAAAAAAATTATAACAAATCCTTACATAAAATTGCCTTTTTATATATAATTTATCTATTTTTAGTAATAATTTATACATATTTTTTATTATGTAACTATACCTATTATTTAAAAACTAATATGCATATTACACATTATGTATATAGATTTTATATATTGAGTTCAAGAGAAGAATACTTACAAGCTGATTACACATTATAAAAGTTAAACTAATTTGGACAAAATCAATAATAATACTTACCTTATAAAAATACGAAGGTGTTTAGAATTAATATTTTTTTGCACCATTTAAAGATTGTAATAAATCAACAAAAAATAGTTGTAATTAAAAGCAGAACTACTAAGATTTAGCATATAAAGATAAACAAAACTAAAGTTTAAGTAACAGATATACATGTTGTACCTCAGATTTATTCTTGCCTCAGATTAAAATTCACGCTACGTGAGATCAACACCAGATCATGTGCATTACATAAATGGTAATTTTATTATGTAGATCATCACGTGTATATACATAATTCGTCACTTCCTATTGGTAGTTTTAATCTGAGGCAAGAATCAATCTGAGGCACAACATACATGAAGTTGAAATTAAAGCCCAAAAGTATTAAGTAGAAATATTTTAACTTGAGAAGGTAAATTAAAGTCAAAATGGTCGAAATTACATTATAGTCCTGTGATTTTTATAATTATAATTTAATATAAAATTTTAAACATGAATAACTTTATCAATATTGATATTACAAATATGAAATACATATTATTAGAATCCTTTTGATGAGCTGAATCCAACTGTATAAAGATCATAAATATCAAATTACTAGATGCGAAGTTTGTTAACTTTGAATTTTAATATTATTGTTTACTATAAAATCATATAATTATGATATAATTTTGATCATTTTGACTTTTAAAGGGATCTAAGTCAAAATTATTTCAACCATTTTGACTATTTTAAAGGTCAAAATTAACTAATTTCAGTTTTATGTATAGTAACAAAAAGCAGAAAAGCAAGCTTTTTAGAAATAAATACAGTCAACTCTTCATAAATGCACCCCCCTTAGAACCAGACACATAAGTGCATTTAAAAAGGGTGTTGCATTTATAGAATAATAAAGTCATATAATTTATATATGAAATTACGATGTTATATTTATTATTATTAAGAATTATGAAAATTTCAAATTTAAACAATTATCATTACAACAATTAGACAATTATCCAAAATATTGATCTAAAGTAGTTTGTTGCATTGAATTGGTTTATTCTCTTTTGATGAATTTCTCAATTTTACCTATCTGAACAGTAAAACATTTTTCTGTGCAAAAAATAACGAAATAACATAATACTTGAAATGGTCAAGAAAATCCGTTATTATAGTTCTTGTTTATAGTTCTTTTACTACGAGTTCAGCCATGATGATCAATGACCTGAAAAATTGATAAAGTTGCAGTATACCAAAAAAATAAATTATTGTTTATGCTAATTTTGTAAATGTGTTCACTTTATTATATTATATCAAATCTTTTTTTTGGAGGTAATCAAATTTTAAATACAGAAATTGATTTAAAATAGAAATATTATAGGCATGTGCAAAGATAGTGAAAAATTTAGCACATCAGGAAATTTGTTTAGGCATAATTTAGTGTAATATTTCGAAGGTGGTGTAAAATTTCAAAATATTACACTAAAAATATAATATTACAAAAGTTTATGCTCTTAAATTTAAATAATTACAGTCACCCCTCTCTACAGTGAACCTCGATATAGCGAATAACACGATATAACGGATCATACAGTGTGGTACCGATTTTAAATATGAAAAAAACCTTGATATAACGAAGTTTACTATTTATTTACCGTATAACGTAGTATGAAGTAAAGTGTGTGAATTTCTTATATAAAAATACCTCTCGATATAACGGATTTTTTTTATAACGAATTTTTTTTCAGTTATAACGAAGAATTTCTATAGTTTATAATTGAATGTAATTATTAATAAATATTGATGCATTATGACATTAAATATCACCCCTGTGTTTTATATTTAAATTATGGATCAGGATTGTATCAGAATCGTATCAGGATTAATAATTCTGGCTATTTTATTTAATATTTAGGCAGAATTACATTAATTTACATTAATTCGGTTGTATTAGGATTCGATGTGAATTGTTATTAATTTATATTTATCACAGGGGTAAGGACACTCCTAGTTAAATTAATATATCATTAATAATTTATTTATTATATAGTCAGTTATTGTTAACCAGCATTCTTACAAAAAAAAGGAATTATAATAAACATTTTTATATAGAACACTTCAGGAAGCATTCCCTATAATAAAAAAATAAAAAAAGAACATTAGTAAATGTTCTTAAACGAAATTAAAAGAAAAAATTGAGTTGTCCCACTTACTTCTTGTCTCAAGCGTCCATTTCGAAGTCCCTACAATAAAAAAAATAAAAAAGAACATTAGTAAATGTTCTTAAACGAAATTAATATAAAAAACCCCCAGTTCCCACTTACTTCTCATTCTAGGCATCTATTTTGAAGTTTAGAAAGCACCCCTATAAAAAAAAGATTAAAAAAAATGTTAAATTATCGGTAATCAGATCAACAAGTCACATGATCTGTATAACCGATATTCCTATACCGAAGAATTCGTTATAGTGTTAACGAAGTTGCTTATAACGAAGCCCTGATCGGCTGGAACCTAGGGTTCGTTATATCGAGAGGGGACTGTATAGTAATTTAAGAATATCTTACTATCTACTGATCCAATCAAGATGATCTATAGCTCATTGGAATCAGCTCATCAAGACAAATCGAATGGTGGTAAAACCGCATCTTTACGTTTGATAGATAGCTTTCTATTAATTTAAAACTTTATTGTATACTATAGAGCGTTCTATCAACTGTAAAAATGCGATTTTACTACCATTTGATTCGTCTTGATGAGCTGATTCCAATTTTAGTGTAATATTTTGAAATTTTACACCATCTTCAAAATATTACACTAAATTATGCCTAAACAAATTTCCTGATGCATAAGCTAGAAATCTGCAAATTGTAAATTATTTGTAAAGTAAATACTAAAAGTGATATTATGTGGAAAGTGAAAAGATATATTTTACATAAAAATCGTAAAAGCCAATAATAAAGAAAAAAATATGTAAAATTGTGATTATAAAAGTTTATGAAATTAAAAAATCATGCTGTTTTTCTTGCTTTTCTTGCTTTTTCTCAAGTTTCCAGGTTTTGGGATAATCCTGATATATAAAATCATATGCGGTACTTTCAGTTTCAGTATCTGAAAGAGAAAAGATTAGTTATATAAAATTATGTTAAAAAAATAAACAAAATTTGTACACATACAATACTTAAATTCAAAAATAACTCTATCATCATCAATATCCCATGCCACCTCACCAGTCCAGGGTTTTGTTGTCACTTCTTCCAAATAGTTTCCAAGTGGCCCATCAGACATCTTGTTTAACTCAAAAACTCGACCATAAAAATCTAAAAAAATTATTCCAAATTCTCGCTTCACAACTAGTATGATAATGTTAAAGCCAAGATTTTGAATATCATCAAAATATATTTTATAACTCAATTTTGTATTCATAAGACTTGATACTTCACAGGGTCCTTGATTAACAGAAACTGCAAGTTGATTGATGATTGGATTCACTCTTAATAATTTCGATTACCATGGATGAATTGTTGTAATACCTTTAAGATTCAATGAGTGTGCTACTCTCTGACAAAATATGCAAAGGTCTCTCAGTACCATTTTTTCTAATTCTATAGCATGGCTGTATAAATCGATATGATGACTATTTTGTCCCTTTATCACTTTCCATGATACTGATTCTGCACAATTTTCCAACAGGTGCTTACATTGTCTCAATTCTTGCACTATTAGGGCACAACACTGGTCAAAATAGTCCAAATCGGCTAGAAATCGAATGTCCGATTTTAGGCTGAATTTGGTGATAAAGATGGCCGATTTATTAATTTAGGCAAAGTTCCGATTGGCAGGCTGATCAATGCCGATCAGAATGTCTGAATTGTATCTGAATTGCTTAGTATTTTTAATCAGAATTGTTTAAAAAATATTATTAATAAATTTACAGAATTGCAGTGAATTTATTCTGAATTATGGTAAATTTGTGACAAAATTTTCTGAATTGTAGTAAAATTTATTCCAAATTGTAGTAAAATTTATTCCGATTTGTAGTAAAATTTATTCCAATTTGTAGTAAAATTTATTCTGATTTGTAGTAAAATTTATTCCGAATTGTAGTAAAATTTATTCCGATTTGTAGTAAAATTTATTCTGATTTGTAGTAAAATTTATTCCGATTTGTAGTAAAAAATTTATTCTGATTTGTATTCTGAATTGTATCGCAAATTACAGTAAATTTTATTCTAAAATTTAAAATATTACATATACATATAAAACAATTTCACCAAAAATCATCCCAACTTTCTAACAAATCCGGTATACGTTAAATTCCTTAATTCCCATTTGTTTCTACAAATTGGAGATGATTTTCC